TATTTTCAAAGTCCATTGACATATGGCTTTGAAACTTTGCATCATGACCCCAACCTGTAGACAGAAGGAGGTAACTCTATCAAGCATTTTGACAGAATTATGCCCCTTTTTCGACATAGAATTTATGTTAAAGTTTTTGTAATATCTCAAATATTTTCAAAGTCCATTGACATATGGCCTTAAAACTTTGCATGTACCGGTACTTGTTGACCATCATGACCCCAACCTGTAAACAGGAGGATGTAACTCTATCAAGCATTTTGACAGAATTATGCCCCTTTTTCGACTTAGAATTTACGTTAAAGTTTTTGTAATACCTCAAATATTTTCAAAGTTCATTGAACATGTTGAAATTTTATACTCTTCTTTGAGAGCATAATAGCACTCTCTCCAATGCCTATAACTGTAACTTGGATTTAAAGAAAAAATTTGCCTTTTTCTTTACTGAGAAAATTTGACCTTTTTAAATCAAGGCTTTTTTTACTATCAAGCACTAAGAATAGTCGAGCATTGCTGTCCTACCGACAGCTCTTGTTTAACACCATTTCTCAAACCAAAACAAGTGTTTTTGGTCTAAATAGGGCATTTCTTTCACTATTTGAGGCCTTAAAATGGGCGGGGGGGACTGGAAAAACATGAAAAGACGTCTATATGAAGTAATGGGTTAAAGACAAATATACAGATTGAAAGTGTGTAACAAAGTTAATATTATAGTAATGTATTGTGACATAAAGATGTAAATTGAAATGTACATGAAAAGACTGCTTTAGCAAAGCCTATATTCTATTAAATCTTCAATTGTCTTAATTTTTATCTGATCTCTTTTGATTTTCTTCATACATGTATCTCATCATATATCCATCAAGTCCATCAAGCTTCCTGTTTGAATAAAACAATGTGAATATAGGGAATAAAGATCTGATTGAGTTCTGTTTCATTCTGACAACCAAATACATGTAATAGTAAAAGAGACTCAATGAATTAGGTAGACATGGACATTTTTTCAGGCTTTATTTTCCCAAACCTCTGATGATAGTGATGATGATGACGATGATGATGATGAAAAATAGCAGTGGATAAAACATGTCACTAAACACACAGGTTTCAGCGGAACCCAATATCTATCTGTCAAACTCAAGGTCAATCTCTTTATCATATCATCTTTATATAAAGTCATCTAAAAATCTACAGCTGAAGGAAATTCACACAAGCTATATGCCCCTCATAATACATGTATAAAAGAATTAACCTCAATTCTAAATGTGTAAAGCTTAAGTGTCAGATTGCAAGAAAATCAACAAGAACTTCTGCGAGTATTCTCATTTCCCTTCATTCATTCATGTTTTGATGATGCCAGGATAAGAATGTTCCTGGAGGTAACAAGAGTGGTAGATGCATCAAATAACGCACCTATTGCCTTTATACTTCATTAAATATTAAATTGTTTTCCAGATGAAGGCTCCAATAATAATTGTCAGTCTACATCAAATTATCTAAGATGATAGTATATTATGCCAGACAAATTAGATTCATTGGTTTTATTGGTAACAGAAAAAGATACTGCTATTGAAGAGTGTAGTTGGAATCAGTCTTTTCTTCATATTTGATCACACTTACCTGCATTAAAACAAAGATTTTACATTTATTGGTAAATCATGAAAGCAGTAGATAAAACCAAGAGAGTTTTTATAAATTACTCCCTTCTTCTTGTCTTATGTTGATCTCTTTGTTTGTTAGCTTTTAACATTCAAATAATGCTGCAATGTACAAAGTGAAGTTAGATGAAAAGATCTGTGTTTCCTATTAGATTTATTTGTTTGTTTTGGGTGCATTATGTTGAGGTTGAAACACCATATCACCTATGTAATGTTTAGGATTATTAGTAAAAGAGAAGTGTATCTGAATGGATTTTACCTGAGTCAAGTATCTCTGGAAATGATAAAGTACTGATTGAGTTTTGTTTCATTCTGACAACCACATGCATTAGTTTAAGAAACTCTTAATACAATCACTTTCATTATATACAAATGTATTTCAAACAAATTTAAACTTTTACACTTTAATCATTATGTAATAAAGATCAGTCAGTATGTAATCACAGGAGGAAGAAAAAGAATGTTAAAAGGAGTCAGACGATGGTATTTCTTAGTAACACAAAATTTGCCTCAATTCTAAGGGAGTTAAGATCATAATTATATTACAGACTTTTTAACTTGCAGTTTATGATTTGTTAGACTATGTAAAGTTTAATCTTTAAGGGTTAAATCATTCTGACTTAAATAACTTGTTTAATTAGTTATATCAAATACATATATATACATATATATATAAATTACAGTACTTATAATAATCCTACTGTTAAGTCAAAATAGTCCAGGGCAAAGCAAGTTCACAAGATTTGAAATTGATTTGTAAGCATATTTATTTTCTCATTGTATTATGCCGTATATAGATAGACTTGTAAAAAGAATTAAATACTGCTTTAAGTTTACAAACAAGATTATAATACTATATTTGTTAGACTGCCAATATACATGTATATAAAATAATATTGGACACTTAAGGGTAAAATTAATTGACCTCTTCAATAAATGTTACAAATTTGAAGTATAATTTACAGCTTTAATGTTGTATAATGTGGTATTATAGGTTAAAACTTTGGAATTTCACTTTCTTTTCTTTCATTGTCCTCAAAATATAATAGCCTAGGGATTTCACTGGCAGGTTATGTAGCTCCAAATACCTTGAAAGCCTTTAGGTTTCACTTTACAGTTGTGTTAGGCAGTTTAACCTCAAAGCTTAATATATCTTCCAAGAAGTTTGACATACCTTCCAAACCTTGGGATTTCACTTAACTGTGGTGTTAGGGACTTTGACCTTAGACCTCAGTATACAGATTTTAGCTCGACTATTCGAAGAATATGAGAGCTATTGTAGTCGCCCCGGCGTCGGCGTCAGCGTCCGCGTCGGCGTCTGCGTTGGTTAAAGTTTTTTGTAAAGTCAAATATCTCAATTATTACTTGAGATATTCAATTGAAACTTACAATACTTATTTATAGTAGCAAGGTACATCAGATTGACAAGTTGGATAACTCTGCCTACAATATTGACAGAATTATGCCCCTTTTTAACTTAGAAATTTTGGTTAAAGATTTTTGTAAAGTCAAATATCTCAATTATTGCTTGAGATATTCAATTGAAACTTACAATACTTATTTATAGTAACAAGGTACATCAGATTACCAAGTTGGATAACTCTGCCTACAATATTGACAGAATTATGCCCCTTTTTAACTTAGAAATTTTGGTTAAAGTTTTTTGTAAAGTCAAATATCTCAATTATTACTTGAGATATTCAATTGAAACTTACAATACTTATTTATAGTAACAAGGTACATCAGATTGACAAGTTGGATAACTCTGCCTACAATATTGACAGAATTATGCCCCTTTTTAACTTAGAAGTTTTGGTTAAAGTTTTTTGTAAAGTCAAATATCTCAATTATTACTTGAGATATTCAATTGAAATTTAAAAACAATGTACACCAGTTTGAAAAATTACATGACTCTGCCTACAATATTTGCAGAATTATTTGCCCCTTTGAAACTTAGAAATTTTGGTTAAAGGTTAAAGGTCTTCAAAGATATTTACATGAAACTTTACACATCCACTTACAGTCATAATTGTATGTCACTGACCAAGTTCCATAACTCTATCTTGAATTAAGGCTGATTCATATCCCCTTTTCTACTTAGTCTCTTGGTTAATGTTTACATGCAAGTTTTACATATTCAATAACTATTAAAGATATTTATTTAAAACTTCACATATGCATTTAGGGTCATAATTGTAGGTCACTGACAAAGAGCCATAATTCTATCATGCATTTAGGCTGTTTTTTCTCCCCTTTTTCAACTTAGAAATTCATGGTAAAGTTTTGCTTGTAAGGTGTTATCTCAATAACTACTGAAGGGTTTGTGCCTTTTTTGGGACAATTTTATGCATTCATAACAATAAAGCAGTGATTTACTTGATAAAACATCTTAATAACAAGCCTTTGTTCAAATTTATGTATTCATAGGTAATTAGTATTATTATACTCAATAAAACACCCTTGTGACACTACCTTCCTTAAAGTCAAGCCAATACTGTATAATTAGACTCTCTCTAAGGATTATAACATGAATTTATAAAAGAAATTAGCCCTTTTGTGAACTTAAAATTTTTTACATTATCAAGGCTCTTTTACTATCAAGCACTTAGAATAGTCGAGCGTGCTGTCCTACCGACAGCTCTTGTTAATTACCTGACCAGTGGTCCATCGAAGCCCTTTTGTTTTACTCTAATGAAAAGGTTTCTTGACAGGGAGATTATAAACCATTCCTTAAAGACTTGTTTTTCTAATCTTTATATATTAACTTCTGTTACCTGTACATAGGGACATAAACAGGGAGATTATTATAAACTTGTTTTTTCTGTACATTTTGAACTGCTATTTGCTGTATGTTGGGCTCAAATAAACCCAGCTGGCCTGACTCAATATAATTATATAGACTAGAAGTTATTATCTTTTCTTGAGTTCTAGGAATAGATGGCTAACTGATTGTATTATTAGATTTTAGCTCTTCTTCCAGTTTCTTCTTTGGGATCAATTCCAAACATAATTAATTACCAAATTCATTCACCTTACAATAAGCTGTAATGATTTAGGACTTTGTACAAAATGTTCATAAGAAATATAAGAGATACAAACTTTGAAATAAAACCTAGAGATAGTTGTAAGATATGAGTTTTATAAAATCTGATATGAAATAAAATATATAATAAAATCTAAATGTAAATTTAATAGAGTTGATATATTATTTTTAAACATTTTCACTTTTTTTTGTAACATTTTTTTTTTTTTTTTTTTGCAGATTCTTTTATTTGCAGCAAATCCTCCGAAACAATAAATCTATTTAATCTTGTTTTGTAATTGTCGTTTATTGTATATTTTCAGTTGACATTGGCATACTGGCAGACTTCCTGGAGACCAGTGATATATCATGGTACAACCACGGGTGCAGTTGGCACTTTCTTTTATTTTGATGCCTGGAAATTATCATTTATGTGAGGGTTAAATGCTGCAGTGTTCAAATTACTAATTTCGGAATATATCTTAATTAATTCATCAGTGAAACAAGTTTAAATTCACATGGTGTGTTTGTTTCAAGTGTGATGATGAAGAAAACAAGCTTCAGGACCTCATGTGTGCACCAGTTACCTATATAACTTTCTCTGAAAAGCCAATCCCAGATTTTTGATACGATTATGAGAAACCATTCCTGTGTAAAGAAGAACAAAATACTGTTTCCTGTATTAACTAGTAAGGTGTGAAGTATTTAATATTATACATGTTTTAGTTGAAAGAAATAAGTATATTAAGGTCACGTTAGTGTTAGAGATATATAAGTCTGGACTTACTTATTGTTATAGATTATCACTGAGTATAGAGGTAGACACTTAAAATACTAGAGTGCAAGTTTTCCAGAGAATGCAGGAAATATATGTCTTTTGTTTATGATTTTTACCATAAATCTAGTTTATAAATAAGTTTAAAGGAGATCATGTGACTTTATTAAGACAATTAACCAGAAACAGAACTAGCTATAAGCTTCAGCATTACTCTAACATTAAACAATTTCCCTTTGTTTTGATTGGCTTCACAAATTCTATGAATTAAGCTTCTACTATATCTCCCATCCTCTCTCTATATTTTGTTTTCTAATCTAGTTTCCCCTATCTGTTTCTACATTACAATCAATACAATTAACTGTAATCATTGTTTCACATACTATAAATAGTTTCAGAACTGATTGCACATTCTATGAATAGCTGCGAAACTGCTGGCCACAGAAATGGCAAAAGACTTTTATATAAAATCTCATTTTTGTCATTTGTTAGAAAATTCCTCTGGTGTCAATTGATTGGTCAGTTTTGTATACACTGTCAGCATCCATTATTCATCCATGTTTGAGGAAACTTCATTTTAAAACCTGGATGATATTAAACTAATCTTCCATTCATTTTTAAACATGTGAGCCATGAAGTATTTAACTGTATCTTGTCATTTTTTGTAAATGACCAATATCAATGCAATATGTTATTTTATAGTGAGTAGATTTTTACCCTTTAATGTATCATTTTTTTTATCCCATCCTTTGTCACTCCTTTAATGGTTTGTTTCACTTTCAATAAGGAAAAAAACAAGCATGTTTTATGCCCTTTTTTCAAAAAAAAAAAGCACAAATCTTAAAATATATTTTCAATTTTATGAAAAATCATTGTGTGATTTGGATAACATTTTACCAAGTTACAATTATCAATTTGTAATATTATAGTTAAACATTTTACCTTTTACTGGAAGTACATGTAGTTTCTAAACAGCAATGACATTACATTGTATTCTTTTTATTCATATTTTGAAGAACTCTTCACTTTTTGTAAATTCATCTTACGAAAATTGTTTTTTCATTGGCTGCAACCTTTTTTTATATAGTAGAAGAATAAGTTATGTTTAAAAACTTTAAAGATTTAAGTTTTAAGACATTTTTGTCATCTTTAAATTGTCGGAATTTAAACTTGTGGCAAAAAAATGTGTCCAAAAAAATTTTTCAAATTCAAATTTCAAAATTTTCTTTCATATACAAGATACATGCTGACGTAGTATAAAAGTATAGTTAAAATGATACTGATATAATATAAATATTGACTACAGAATTTTATAACTAAGTCCTGACAGTGATAAAGTGCTCAATTTTTGTATGTAAGGTGATAATGTATGACTGATGTTTGTAGGAACTGACATTTAGAAGGATGTTTGGGCTGAAAATGAATTTTTTTATGTTTCTTATATTTTTGAGAGAAAATTGTTAAAAAGTACCGGTTTATTACTATAGTTACCAAGATAAGCCTTTCATAGCGAGTGTGTTTCTCCAGTATATATACATATATATATTGAGTTATTATTAAGTTTTATAATACAATGGATTTATGTTGAAAAAAGAAATCCATTTTTACATGATTGATATTTTGTTGACAGTTCATATTTCTGTTTTATATTTTGGGATAAGAAGATTTATTATGGTGTTTTCTTAACATGGTTCGTTATTTAAAAATAGATTTAAATTATTTCTGAATCTGATACTCATGTATATGTGAAATAGTGAATGCAAAGTTTAGAACCAAATGTTTCAAAATTTTATTCAATATACATGCCAGAGTTTGTAAATCCATCAGACAAATTTGCTTAATTGTTCAGTAAGAAAATTTTTTTTTGTTTGGTAATAAAATTTTTTGGGTAGCCATGATTTTTACAAGCAATAATTTATTTGAGACCATATATAATAGATTTTGTTTGTCTTCAAATGGCATTGAAAATCAGTACATGGAAAGAAGTTTGGAATAATTGTATATAAAGATCAGGTTATTTCTATACAAAAAGTATCAGATGCAGGGAACAATTGTCATTTAGAACAGCCATAGTAAATGGTAGTGGTGAATTATAATATAAATCAGGTTACTGACATGTCTATAAATATAAAAATCCATAATTGTAGTAAAAAAAAGTATCTTACAGAAAAAAATAGTCTACAAATGTTGTTATTGATTTACAGTTATTTATGAAAACTCAATTGCAGATAAAAAAAAACATTTTGATATAGCCTGCATAGAAGAATTTTCTACACTGTCTGTGACAGAAATCAGATTTGTTTGCCTCATTTGCCAGTGATGAGTTTTTTATGTGAACAAGCTGTGGTATATATATAAATATATATAGAAAACTTGTCATAACACAAGATGTTCATATTATAAAAATCATGAAATCTTTGTTTCTTATGCAAAAACCATGGCATGTTATGAGGTGTATATTTTTTACAACATTAATCATTGTAATATTTGTAAGTTTATAACTTGTTTTTCAAAGTAAGAAAAAAATGCACGAGAATGTCACTTGGTTTAACATGATGTATTGTTGCAAAAGTACAAAAAACAGTTTGCCAACATTTGTTCCCAGCCTTATTGTTGTTTTTAGAAACAGAACATTATCTAACATGAGACTCATCATCAGTAGCTGCCTTATAAAACATGTTTCATGACATAACTAGACTTATAACAAGGTTCAATACCTAGTCTTGGCCTACAACTTACATCATGATTATCAAATATACAAAAATCTTCTTTTTTTACATTTTTCTTCAAAGCCTTTTCCATATACAACTACATCTATATGGTCGATTTTACCTGCCTTAAATTTTCAACTTTCTTTGATACTTTCTCTATCAACATAAATAAACTCAGTTAATTATACTGGTTGTACAATAGTTTCAATTTTGCTTCAAATGCTCAAAGAATTATGGGAAATCCTAGCACAATGGTAGTGGTGCTTCAATAATTAATGAGAGGTTATATTAATGACATCATGTATGGGGGAGGGGGGATTGAATTACAGGAAATATTGAGTTGCACTAGTAAGAATTTGAAGAGAAAATAGATTATGAAAGAAGATTTTTTTTGTTGTTGAATATTTAGAGATACAATTTTGTTATACAGTTGACCATGTATGTATATTATGACTTTAACTGTTGAATCAGTTATAGCAATTTGTTATAGAGTATCTTAGATTATTATTTTTGAACACATAGATGCATTTATTGCATTGCATTTTGTTAGAGAGCATATATAACATTGTTACACATTATTGGCTTTTTTAAAAAAAACTTGAAAATATTGTTGATGTTAAGTTTTGTTTTACTTTCTGTTAATGGCATTTAAATTGTATATCAAAATATTAAATTGTAGCAATAAATTTGCTGACCTGTCAATGATAGAATAAATACGAGTGGCTAATTCAAATTTAAATGTAGCTCAGTATTGACCAATCAGATTCATGAGTTGTTTGACTGGTTTTGAAACGTCTGCAATCTTGAACCCAAAGGAATAAAAAGTCCATAATTTAAATTGGGTTACACCTTTGCTGTTGATTGTAATTATGCTCATACAAAGAAATGTAAAATTCTAATTTTTGAACTCCTGTTTTATTTCTCCAGAATCACACAAATTGAATTGCAAAGTTTAATTAAGTTATAGGACTTAATGAAGAGTAAAGACACTTTGTAGTAGTTTTTCATTGAGAAGAACAAAGTCTCTTCCAGATTTCAAGCATGAATGGTTTGGAAGATAAAGGAATACTCATTCATTTGCTCTTTCTTCTTAGAGTGTAATTTACAATTAAGAAAACCAATTCAAGTATGAAATCTGTGAAATCTGGACAGCCTCTCTTGTATTGTTCTGCTTCAAATCATATAGGTCAATAGAAAACTAATATATCACTGTAAAAGATGGAAATGAGCACTGGCTTATTGATCTATTCTCAGAGTTTCTGCTGTAATTTTACATAAAAAAAGAAGAAAAAGGGAAGAAGGTTAAGAAAATATACAAATATTTCTAGGAGAGAAAAATTGGTCTGTTCAAATTTCAGTCTCTCCGGGGATTGCCAAGTAAATAGTTTTGGCTGATTTTATAGTGAAGCAGAACTGCATTTGGCATGTTGTAGATGTAATAATTCATACTACTTCAGTCAAGTCTGATTACAGTGTCCCTGTAGAATTGTAGACAAACTACTGTATCTTTCTACAGCTATTTGTCTATTGAAGGTCTGCTCTATGCCATATTTGGAAGAAAAAAAATGTTCCACTCCGATCAAAAATAATTGATGTGAAAATTAATAGGCAAATATTGATAAATTTATTTTGTTTCGATTATGGTATAGACTAAAGTATTACAATTTGATATTTTAGCATACATTTGGAGCATTTATCTTTGTTTTACCAGATTAACTGATTTAATTTTGTTATGATCTTTCATAATTGGACAGATTGTCTCCATGCACACAGTTCTCTTTTTCTCTTTTTAAGCATATAATCCAGGTAAATCATTTTGATGTAGGGTTTTCCCCTATTAAATATTTTTAATGAAATGTAAAATATCTGGCTTACTTTAGCAAGTTTGTTAACAAACTACACTGAAATCCCTGGTGCATTATTTTATCTAATTTATCTTCTTTCCTATTGACCATTTACCACAACTAGTCTTCACTTCCATCCAGTCTAAAAAGCCTGTGTAGATTTCAAATATTTACATCTTGATATCCCTAAAATTGATAATGGACAGTTCCAAAAATTGAAGCTGGACAAGTCCATTTAAGAAATTGAGGTAATTAAAGTTTTGGTAAGGAATGGCAGGTATTATGTTGAGAAATATTTTAAATGTTTAATCTAAGTCCATTGTATTATAAAAATGCCTGAATTCAATAAGACAAGACAGTTTTACAAGGTTATATACGGTAATTGAATATTTCTAATTTCATTCAAAAGCAGCTGTGTGTACATTATTTTTGTTTTTATTTTTATTTATTTGCATTTAAAGAGAACATTTTTGTGTTTTAATAAACAGTATCTATATTGATTCTTATGTACATGTATATTTATTTATTTTACTGATAATCATTTTACTTTTATGAAGAACAGTTGTGTTTTGTTTTTTATTTGATGATATTTACTTATAATCAAAATATATTGTTTACTTTACACAAGGTGAGTAAAACTTTTTTAGAATCTCAACAATCTAGGTCTGACAATTTTTATTTTAACTTATTTTTTATTATGAGATAATCAGTATTCAGTTTTGTGTTTTCTTCTCTTTTTGTTTAGTATTGTTATATTTTAGTTATTTATTTCTGTTTATTTTATGAATATGTAGTTTTGTTAGTTTCATTTCTATGCTATAGAAATTTAGTTTTACCAGACATGTATTTTGAAATTGTGTTTTTATTTATTTTCAACTGATCTAGTGTGTATTTTATTATTTAAGAATTATATACATGCAGGCCTTTAATCTATTCATGTTAAAGCTACTAATTCACATGTGTCTGTAGGTATAGTTTAATTTCTAAAAAGTTTACATACTTTCTTTTTTTATAGAACTTTGTAATTTATTAGTGGTGTAAATTAATTTACTGCAAGATAATCTCTGCACATTAATATAAACACAAAATATTTGTAGTTTAGTAAGGACTATTATGAAAGCTTCTTAAATCACAGGAAAATCACATCAATATACTAATTGTCAGGTATAAATCATGAATAATATTGTGTTGTTCTACAAAAAATCTTTAATATTATAATGCTGATAACAGACCTATATCGTCACCTGTAAAGTGAGGTCTATCTTTAAACTAGCACAGTCTAACAAGACTCTATAATGCTGGCTGCCATATTCTTCTATTTTCATATCCCTTTAACTATGTTTGCACTATTTTAAATTCAAAACAGAAAAAAACATATCCCTTTAGCTATGTTTGCACTATTCTAAATCAAAACAGAAAAAACTCTTATTTTACAAATTTGACAGTGTAAAGGTTTTAAGACTTAATATAAAAACATCCCATTTTTAGCAAAAATATCAAAGATAATGTTAATCTTCTGATGAATTCCACCAAATTACCATTGATAGATGCTGATGTGTAAGAGGTATATAAGTAAATATGTTGGCATACGTGTATGTGAAGTTATTTCTCTCAGAATTTTCTGTTGTGGGTAACAATCAGTGTTAAAATGGAACACATCTTTGGAATGGCAAATATAACAAAGTATCATAGATTAGGTATGCTATTGTCATAATTATGTAGAAAGTTATTTATAAAGAATTGATAAAAAAAACCTTACCTAGTAGACTATTTCTTCAGAATTATCCAATATTCTTTGAGACATAGCAGATAATTGTTTACAATATTTTGGCATAATATTTATATCTTTGTTTACTACATAATATTATATTATGTAATTTCCTCACTAAAACACATATGTTTTACAAAACATGATGAATACATGTTTCTCTCTCAATTTTCTTTTTACTCTGAAAAGTTTTATTAATTTTAATTTATTTTACTTTATTATTATACAACGTTTTTGGTTGTAAGGAAAACTGACACATCAAATTGTTCATGAAATTTGCAATGAGGTAAAAACAAACATACACACACATCTAAAAATTTTATTTACTATTTTTTGTTTTTTAATTGATTAATTAATTTGAAGTATCAAAATCAATATTTTTTGTTTTGATGTGTTTTTTAAGCAATAAATTTATCAGAGTTTATTATCTCATTATGAGTTTACATTGCCCAAAACTTGCTGATTACAAAACAATACATTTCATTACCCAGTTGTTAACCTTTTCTTCTACAGAAATTCATTCTAGTTTTATGACATTTCATGTCAGCTCATACTTATTAAACAAACATTTTAATTTTTTATATAACTAAAACTTTGAAAATTTCATTTTTAAACAACATATTTTTGTTAAGGAAAAGATTAATTTCAAACACATTACTGTACATTTTTTTATCTCTGATACATCATTACTTCTAATATTTTGTCATACACCAACTTGACTGCAGGAAATAAAAACAAAATTTAAAACATCTTTATTCTTCTGTCAAACTAACAACACAGATACACTGATAATCATTTTGTTATATTGATATTCTGATGAGAATATTTGAAACAATTTGGAAGTCGAATTGAAATTTGCCAGTCTTTGGAAACGGCCAGTCAACAATAATTCCTAGAAAGTTTTTAAACTTTACAGTATAATTTTGTGTTTGGGACTATGATTGTGTCTCATTTCAAGGAATATCACAAACAAAACAAAGTGTTTACATTCATATAATAATGTATTTTTCCTTCTCTCTTAAATTATACTAACATTCTTCTCAAGAAAAATTTCATATATATTGCACTAGATGTACTAATGATTATTGATTTTCAACTAAGTTTGTTTTTTTTTATGGGGGGGGGGGGTTATGGATTTCTTAAGTTAATGCTAAACAATGAATGGTTTTGATTGGAATTGTATATGTGTTTTAATGGAAAATAGATGTATGTATTAAGTATAGTTTTCTGGTCTTATTTTAAAGTGGAGAAACCACAACATACATTATTTTACACTTATCTGTAATTCTTTTTATCTCTGTTTAAACATTTTAATATTTTAATTAGGATACCCTGTTAGTCTAAAAACTGTTAAAAGCAGTTTTTATTTATGTAAAAATAGAGTAGATCTAATTTTGTTGTGTTAAAGCAATAGCTATTTTTGTTTTAAATTTTGTTTTACATAAAGTTTGTGTTACAAAATAAGGCTCAGTATATGTTTTGATATTTGCACTGTAATGGTCATAAATATTATTTGATATTAGCACTGTAACGGTAATAAATATGATTTGATATTAGCACTGTAACGGTAATAAATATTATTTGATATTAGCACTGTAACGGTAATAAATATGATTTGATATTAGCACTGTAACGGTAATAAATATGATTTGATATTTGCATTAGAACAGTAACAAATATTGATATTATCACTGTAAGGGTAATAAATATGATTTGATATTTGCATTATAATGGTAACAAATTTGATTTTAGTACTGTAACGTTTAATATTGGCACCTTTAATATTAGCACTGTAATGGTTATGAATACGATTTGATATTTGCAGTTAACATACAGCACTGAATCAGTAATAAATAAAACTCTTTAATGGTAGTGAATAAAGATAATTGTTGAATTAAGATATATAGATTTCTCTCCCTGAATAAACAATATTTAAAAAAAAAAGAGTTCTGGTCATTCAAATAGAGCTTAAAATTGTCTTAAATAAATGCTGCCGTATGAATGGTTTCAGCTGATCAACTTATAAGATATTTGTATACTTTGTTGGCATTATTTCTGTTAAATCTGAAGTTTTGAGCTGATATCTATTTTCAGAGAGACTCTTCTCAATTTTGCTTTATAATTGTTTAGGGGTTGATCTGTAACATCACATTTTAGGCTGACTAATAACTTGAATCATTATTTACTTCATTTCCTAATGGAAAATTAAGAAACATACAGTTCTCTTTTCATCATGTTTTTATATTTTATATACCATTACTTGCCCAAAAATGCAAATTCCAGGTCCCAATGATGCAAGTTTCAGGTCCCAATAATAAAAAAAGAAATTAAACTCTACATAGTTTTATAATTCCTCATTAAAAAAAAAAACTTCAATACAGTTATTTTGAGGTCTCAAACCTTATTTGTATAAAACACAAAATAAAGAAAATATATGAAAACTTTAAAAAGATATTTATTTAAAATTTTAATGATCATTTTGTTAACTTAATATTAGTTTTCTTACCATCTTTCATGTTTATTCTACTGTAGCCTAAATGACCAGCTTTTGCCAACAGTATAGAGCCAGGCCAGTCTGCACATCTGTGTAGTCTAACCACGCTCTATACTGTTGGCAGCTCAATTTTTGTATTTTGATATTGAAATCCCGTATACTTTGAATGGACTGTTTCAAATTCAAAGTTGGGGAAATCCACTTTACAAATTTAGCAGGCTAAAGGTTAATATTTTGATCAGTAATTGAATTTTGTTGATTAATTTTTGTTGATCAGAAGAATTTAATAATCTCAGACTTTTCTTGCAGCATAAATGCTGTGTAATGTGAAATAATAGTTCAGATGCTTTATAGCACACATTATAACTTGAATAAAGTTTATTTACACACTGAAATATTGTACAAGAATCAGGTATATAAAGCAATATGTTCACTAATTAATCAGTAGAAATATTCCCTGTAGAAAGTAATATCTATTCATACATCATGTGTATAGATTTCCACAGTTTGTTGATAATGAAAGATGTTTATCTCATGTTTTAAATCAATATTCATGACATGATTATTTCCCCGAGAATATTTTTTGTTTCATTTTGTAATTAAAGACTGGATCACAAATAACAAATACATATTGACTGGGCCTAATTTAATTTATTGTCTGAATTTGGAGACCAGTCTGAAAATGTTGCATTGTTATTTTTAGCTGATAATTAACTAATCAGATGCTTCAAATTCCAGACTGGTCTTCATAATTTAGTTTTAGTATCACAGACTCATAATTTTATTAACCCCAATTTTCATTATTTGCCCAAAGTGTTTTTAAGTCTAAGAAAGAGAGGGTATAATTTGTTTAGAGAATGGAATATATAATTATGCAGTGCAGACACATTTATTAAAAGATAGATATTGATAAATTTGGGACACTCAAGTCTAAATTTATCACTTGATATAATTCATTAAATGAGCCGCGTCACGACAAAACTGACATAGTGCGCTTGCGACCAGCATGGATCCAGACCAGCCTGCGCATCCGCCCAGTCTGATCAGGATCCATGCTGTTCGCTATCAGTTTCTCTGATCAGACTGCGCGGATGCGCAGGCTGGTCTGGATCCATGCTGGTTGCAAACAAACTATGTTGGTTTTGTCGTGATGCGGCTCAATTATATAAGTTCTATGGATATTAGAGCATTCCCTTTAGTTTTAGATTCTTGTCTTCTTTGTTAAGAGCAACAAGATCATGTAGCTTATTGTCCAAGTGTAGATTTAGATATCCTTAGTTGTACCAAAAAAATGTAAGCATATTTGAAAGATCAATTGTTACTTAGTGTATACAATGTATACTGGAATGAAAGTCTATGAAATCTTATATTTTACTTTCCCTAATCAGGACAAAGTTTTATAGTCTTGATTATAGTGTTTAACTTTT